GTCCCACCGCCTGTTCCCAGGGAGAAGAGGCCAACCCCCACCTCGCTACCCCCTCTGTCAGGCAGTTGTAGGGTCTTCCCTCAGCCTCCTCTTCTCCAGACTAAAGCTTTTAAAGACTAAAAGCTTTTTCAAGCCGTGTGGGCAAAGCTGAAGCCAGGAGAGGGTGCTGGATCCCTGCGCAAGGCTGGCGTCACCCCCCCCCCCCAATGGTGAGCTGTGAAAGTGCCCCCCAGGGGTGTCCCCTACCCAGCCCCGCATTAAAGGAGATCCCACCCAGGACTGTGGGACCCCCATGGGCAGGATGGGCCCCACCACCGCAGCAAAGAGCTGCGCAGCAACCGGGTGGGGGGGATTGCAATTAGAGCTGTGGCTAATGAGGGTTCAACGCTAGGTGCTCCCAGCCTGGGGGGGGGACCCGAGCACCGCGGGGACACCTCACCTTGACATCCCAGATGCTCATGCCGCCGTCCATCCCCGTGGTGCAGAATTGCGAGCAGTTTGCCTTCCCGCCCGCCAGCACCGAGATCTGGCTGCAGGGAGCAAAGAGATGGGCAGGGAGTCAGCCCCAGGCCCCCGCCAAGCCCCCGGGGGCCGCCCGGTCATTGGTGGGTGGGAGTGGGGCCGGACCCCTTCGTCTCCCCAACCCATGTGCCCTGGGTATCCAGGGATACCCAGGGCAGCTCAGGGATGTCCAGGGATGCTCCAGGAATACCCATAGGTGCCCAGGGATGCTCCGGAGCTGTCCCAGCTCCCAGACCGGACAGCAACACAGCCAAGGGATGCCCAGGGGCCGGCACCCCCAAGCAGCCCCCGTGGTGTCCCAGCCAAGCCTGTCCCCCCCCCATACACACCTGATGCTGTTCTTGTGCAGGGTGTCCAGCGTGGCGTTGGTGGTGTCCGAGCTCGCTTTCTTGTCCAGGTTCTGGAAGCGCTCGCGGGCGGTGAGGCCGCGCTGGGAGCTCTGCTTGGGGAGGTCCAGCTTCCCCCCAAAGGTCAGCACGCCCTGGCTCTCCTCGTAGGTGAACAGCATCGGGTAGCAGTCATGGCCCTGGGGAACCAGGCAGCCCTGCTCAGCACCCTCCTGCCGGCTCCCGGCACAGCACCCACCCCGTGTCCCCAGCCCGGACTCACCGCAGCCACCAGGCTGTTTTCGGTGATGAAGGTGACGGCCAGGAGGGGCAGGGTCTCGGTGCACAGGGAGGCAACGCTACGAGGGAGGGCAAGGCGTTAGCAGGGAGCTGAGCTCCAGCCTCTGGGCTGAGACTGGCACAGCTCGTGACACAGGTGGAAGCCACAAGACCATAAGATGACGCGTCACCTCCTCTGACCAGGTCTGCTTGGCCCTTCACCCCCACCCTAACCCAGATGCCTCCATCTCTGGGTCAGTTTTGGGAGTCAAACGCCCTG